CCCCCGTGCAATTTTCTAAACCCTGTGTACATATATTCACAAACCAAAATATATTTTTTTCTTTGATACTAATTTTTGTCTGTTTTGAAACCACGTTGTCCAATTAAAACAGTTAACAATACCATTAATTTGAAACAGAATAACAGAAGTCTACTTCATACCTGCCAACATCTGCTGACACCAATGAGAGACACCTGTTCATGTTAACGAGCAGCTGTGGAGTCAAGCGGCTCCAGTGGGCTCCAAGTTTATACTCCCCCAGAAAATAATGTAAAAGATCTGCTCAAAACTCTTCATTTTTCCAGCAATTTGAAGAGCATTTTACTAAATTCACGGGAATAATAAAACAACATAAAATCAGTAACATATAATATCTTCTATTATCCTTATTTTGGTTTCTATTAAAAACACTGATCACCAGGAGTTAGTTTTGATTGCATCCTATGATACTTTTATCACAAAATATCCTCTGCACCTCAAAAGACTTCATTTAGTAACAAAGCAGGCTGAGAAATCCACAGAACAAGCTACCTTCATGAACCTGAGTAACCAGTGACTATTCTACAGACTAAATCAACTATACTCTGACAAAACGTTACAAATTTCTGGCGCCCCCTACATGAACTGCGTATTTAACAGTTGCCTATACTGCTTATGTCACGGGTCGGCCCTGCTTATGAACGACTCTGAGCTACAATCATGTCAAATTTCAGCAAAATATCTGTAAAACAGACTAAATTATAGCTCATTTTCTGTTTTCTTTGATCAGCTGGCTGTGGTAGACGTCTTGAATTGGGTCGGCTTCAAAATATGTATCAGTTTTAGATGTGCAGCAAATGATTATATTCTGAAAATTTCAAAAAAATCAATCCAGTGGTTTGTTTGATGTGTTGCTAACAGACAGACAGAATTGAATCCAAATAGTTGTTGGCAAAGTTTTAACGAAAGATCTTGCACATCCTGTTAGGGTTTAGACTCTGTATCGTCTATTGTTCTTAACTCTGCCTCACCAAATTTGAGGTTCGTACGGTTCAAATGTTGTTCTCGTACACTTTAAAACCCCAAAAAGTGTGACAGAGTACAGCCACTGAAAAAAGGGATACATTTGCAGTTTCAATTCTGCAGCTGTGAATGTCCACTGTTTTGACTGTCTCAAAAGTAAACAGACTTTGTTTAAAACCAACCATGAATCAGCAGCCAAAACAGTCCCAATCAACAGGAACACTTGACGTCGAACCTGGCCCTGTCCAGAGTCGCGCCACGGGTTATAGACCGTTTCACACTGGTTGGACAAACTACAGTTGTTGACGTCACGAGAGTACCTTAGGTCATTTGACATCAACAAATGGATCCTTGTAAAGTTTCTAGACAGCAGCAAAATACATTCCTATCAGATGCCTTCTCACTGCACCTGCCTTTGTCACAAAGTTTATAGCATCGATCCACATTCTTCACCCTGTGAGTGGTTGACAACGGCAGTGAGCGTCAGACTGTTCTCACAGACTCAGAGCATCGAGGCAGTTCACTTATCACCGCGGCCGTCCCAGCATGCCCACGTTATTTCAAATAAGAACAGAATGTTTGTTGATAAAGAAGTAGGGGGTAGAAGGGGGGGAATGAACCTCTCATGCCTGTTCCTCATTCTTCTTGTTGAAATTAGATTTTTTTTTGTCTCTGTCTGACTACGTGAAGTAATGATTAACACTGCCAGGCATGGGAAGAGGCTCGCTGTTACAATGGAGGGGGTTGTTTGGGTTTGCATTGCTACCATTTTCACCTGATTTAGCTTCCCAAGTTCACCTGGCAGATCTCTGGGAACTAAAGGCTAACATCCGAGAAGAAAAGGGGGGAAAAAGAAAAAAAAACTTTTACTTAATCATTATCATCACTAGAATCATTCAAGAACTCCTGGCATCAGGTAAACAGATAAAACTGGTAACACTGTCAGATCAGGAACATAGCAAAGTGCTTAACTTACTGTGGAAAGGTTCACATGAGAAAGTGTCAGGGTGAGTGCAGGGGGACTTTTGAGCTTTGTGTAAGGTTTCAAAAAAAAAACCGCACAACTGATCAATAGTGATTGACCTATGTGCAAGCTCAGCCTGCAAACAGCTGCCTGTGATACAAGCTGAGGCACCGTGGCTCAGCTTTGTTTGCACCATGTAAAACATTTTTTTTACTGAGGTAGGCTTTTCTTTTTGCGTGAAAGCATTATTTTATGATTTCAAATGTTCTTCCCTGACATTCTCTGATATATGCTGTTGGATACCAACTCACTCCTTCTTCAAACATGAACATTTTTCACACTTTACTTTTTGTTGTATTGTGTGTGTACATCTTTCATGTATAAACAATTCATCGTGTCTGCTGTAACTTGCATATATAAACTCCTACGAAGAGACACGGTAAAAAGGGGACAGCGACAGACATACTTTCGGTGGTGATGACAGGTTTGTTACTGTGGATGTGACGTTCAGTGACACGAACAGGAAGTGTTGTTACAGCTGTATAGAAAGAGGAAAGACAAACAAATGACCTGATGAGGGCTTTTTTTCTTTATCTTTAACCAGGTGGATGACCAGATGAAGCTACTGCAGAACTGCTGGAGTGAACTCCTCATCCTCGACCATGTTTTCCGGCAGGTGGTCCATGCTAAGGAGGGATCCATCCTGTTGGTCACAGGCCAGCAGGTGAGTCAGTAAAAACCCAGTCTGAAAACGTCTGGTGACCTCCATCATTTCATTTTTCCTCCGAAGTCCTGATGATTGCACATTACTGTAAAATACTCATGGGATCGTGAATTGGAAAAGTAATAGTAGAGGTCCGAATGTGGTGCTTTAGCCACCTTTTTCTCTTTATGATTAAGGGGGTGTATTATGCAAAGTTATTATGTCATTCCCTCATCAAAAACATACCCAAGGTGTTGCTTTGGCTCATTCATGCATGTTTTGAAAATCCTTGAATTTTCTGTGGTGGTCATGTGGAGCTGCCTAAACACTTGCTGGTACAAAGCACCGCCTATTTGCCCAAAGCTCCCCCCTACAGCTCAGTGAGCCGAGCTCCCGCCCCACAGAGCACCCCTCACACAAAGCATTGTAGCGAAGATGTGCTGAAGTGGGAGTGTCAGAAACAGTAGAAGGTTCTTACCAGAGATGCAAAGTCAGGTTTACTTTTCATTTATACAGCATTTTCTTGACAATGAATGTAAAAGTTACTTGATTGTGGTATAGAGTTGAAGTATGCACCAGGAAAATACACAACTACCCCACCCTCTGCAAAATGAAGTTTGCAAGGAAAACAATTATGCTCTACAGTATTTCTGCATGTCTTGATGCCACTCAGAAATAAATTATTTATATTAGATCATAGAAAAATGCAAGTGTCACTAAATATATCAGTTTTATCTACAGAATTAAGACACTGAAATATTTATGTAGGAGGCAGGAATGTAGCTCAGTGTATTTATGTGATTTTTTTAGCTATCTTTGTAGAAGATAGTAAGAACTTGGTGCCTGAGGCCACAACAAAATTTCTCAGCATTTCACAATTTTATGTACTGAATTCTGTTTTGAGTTTTTACACATACCCACAAAATATAACATCAAATAAAAAAAGAAACGCTCATACATAAAACAAGGTGAGAAGATAACTTCAGCAGTAGAAGATTCTTTCAGTTCATTCAACCGAAATACGAGAGAGAGAAGAAAAAAGTTTGCATGGAAAAGTGTGAAACTATCATTGTACGGTACATATAAATATATTTATGCAAGACGAGGAATCAGTTTTAATAGATTCACAAAAACATTGTTTTTTATCACAATGTTTTAAAACAGCAGATGATGGAAAACATTGGAGAAAGTCAAGTGTTTGTGTGCTGTGTGCATGAAGGATATACGTACGTATATATAAATCTTGGACATTATACATGAAGCGATAAACCTTCATTCATTATAAACCCTTGTAAATCTGAGTCCCGGAGATATTAAAGGGAAATTTGTGTTTCTAAATAAAAGAAGAGCAAAAACAGAGAAAATAAAAAAGGGAAAAGAAATACAAAGAAGAAGCAAAAGGAAAGGATTCAAGGAGGGACAGGCGAGGAGACGATGAGGCGAAGCGGACGAGGCAGTTTGTGGAGGAGGAGAAAGAGGAGGAGGGACTGATAGTCGGGGGAGGCGCAGGTCAGCRCTATCGTTTGCATACTTTGGTTAATGAACAGCTGCTGTTGAGGCGTGTGTGTAAATGTATGCATGTGGCTGTGCGTCAGTGTGAGGCTCTGAAACAGTTCATTATCTCCTATTATTCTCTGCCTGGCCAGGGGTGACAGCACAGCAATAATAGCAGGGATGTTTAGACCTCTGCAGCGGCATCACCCTGAGCAAACCCTACACACAAACGCACACACACACATCATGCTGGCCACAGTGATTTGTGAACTGCTCGGTACGTGAGACCAATGAGATTTTAGAGTTGTGATTGAGTTGGAGTTAGTTAAAGCATTGATTTTCTTTAGGATTACTTTTGATTATCTCAGAAACTTGAGAATTGAGAACCAACATACAGTATAGGGTAAAGAAATTGTCTTGTTGATGGTTTGTTTATATGTGCCTGGAGTCAAAATATGTACTTTTGTTTATTTGTCTACCTGTCAGACAGATTTAGCTAAAAAAAAACTGTAAACAAAAGGACTTCACCATAGTTGTGTGTGGTTCTGGTAGTTAAAAGGTAGGGGCATTTCTCTAAGAGTGTTGAATCCTAGAACCCCCAAAACAAGCTGTTTAGGAAAGGAGCTGTTAAAAGTTTTATGAGGTGGATTTTTTTTATAGAGTCAATAAATTAGCACCCCTTGCAGAGCTGCTATTGACTAACAGCCATAAGAAATACCATTGACAGGTAAAGTGATAAAACTAACTGTTACAATAGTACCAAGCAGTAAGCATTTTTGGCTTCAAAATCAGCAACTCGTCATGCATTTCCTGATTTCCCTGACATTTTAAGTCCTGCATGAGTGGCACATGGGGGGATTCAAGTGCGATACTCAATAAATATCTTGTGTGGGCACCCAGTTTGTTTTATTTATTTATTTATTATTATTTTTGACCAGATTGTATGATTTTATGATAAGCTTTAATTGTTAAACTGCAAACATTTTTTTTTGGGGGGGGGGGGTATGTGCAGTATTTTTTCCAGGCACATAGTTAAATTCTATACCACAGTCAAGCAACAATGGTACCTTCAGTTGTTATGAAAATGCTGTACATCTAAAAAAAATAATAGCCTATCTAAACGCCTTGAACCTGGCTTCTGTTTCTTTCAGAACCTCCTACCATTTCCAACACTCCCACTTCAGCACGTTTTCACAACATTTCTTCATGCTGTTTACAACCTTTCATAAGAGCACTGTAAGAGGGTGGTCTCCTTGACATCTAAAAATACATTTCTTTGATGAAGGAATTGTTTTTATCCAAAAAAAAAAAAAAAGAACTGGACTGAGAAGTAGGTGGGATTACAAGCTCAACAGACAAGCAGTTCCACCAGGGGTTTGCTAATTGTAGCTGCTGCAGAACTGTGTGTGTGTGGAGGGGGGGTGCTCTGTGGGGCTGCAGACTGAGCTCCAGGGAGGAGCTTTGGGCAAATAGGAGGCACTTTGTACCAGCAAGCGTTTAGCTAGAACCGCATGACTGCCACAGGACATTCATGGATTTCTGCATGCATGAGTCATGGGCATGTGTTTGATGAGGGGATTTGCATTGACTTCCATTCATTTTTGTAACTGTATTTATGCCTAACCCAGACATTTTCCCTAAAATTACTCATTACTGGTCTGTAGTCAACCCTAACCTGAACCAAGACTTAATTCACTCCATACCTCTAAACCTAACTAATAAAGTACAGTAGAGCTGCAAACAAAGTGAGGACCGGGAACAGGTCCTCACTTTCCAAAAATGACCTTACTTTGTTGATAAAAACCTAACATGGTCCTCATTCTGTAGGTAAAACAAGTACACACCCACACACACACACACACACACACACACACACACACACACACTATGCATTATATTGTCAGCTCTGTAACGAGAACCAACCCCACCACAGATACATTGTCATCTTTCCATACTGTCGACCAGAGATGGAAAGAAGTAAATTACATTTACTAGCATTACTGCAGGTGACTATGAACTTTGTGTACTTTTTAAGTACAACCCCACTTGCAATGACATTGGGACAATGTGTAAAACATACTTCATAATTACCRTATTTATTTGTGTATAGTACGATCTCATGTATAATACGACCCCCCCCCTTTTTTTTATCTTAAAAAGCATAAAAAAATTGAATCCTCAAACTACCACCAATTTCTTACAGACTTCAAGATTTTTCAGCCTTTGCAGTCTACAGTATATACAGTATATATCAGTAAAATGATCATTGGACTGTTCATTTTATTTTAACAACAAATGTACTAAAAGGNCACACACACACACACACACACACACACACACACACACACACACACACACTTTAATGCAGAAAATTCCACAAGACAAAACATGTAAGATTTGTTTGTACTGTAAAACTGAACCAAAGAAGAAGCATCAACTGTAGGCAGACACTACAGAATTTTAAAGACCAAAATCATTGCTAGAGTATCGTTTTGACTTGGAAATTTGAACATCAAGAGCAAGGATCAAATTTTGATTTCTAACATCTTCAGAATGGCAGCTCTTGAGGGACATTCTTGTTCTGCAGTTCATAAACTGTTAAAAGTGGTCCAAGAGAGAATAACCAATGAACAAATGACATGGTTTTGAATTTGGACAAACAAGTTTGAAAGGGATTTTAAAGGRAACATGTGCCAAGACTTTTAGAGGTCTCATAGACTGTATGCTTCATTAAGTTTGGCAGAAAAAGAGGACCTACTCAATAGGAGCCCAATGGATGCAACGCCACGGTTGATTTATTTATTTATTTATTTATTTATTTATTTATTTATTTATTTATTTATTTATTGTAATAGGATAACAGTAAAATGATGCTATGAGAAAGTGCTGCTTTTAAAATTGACTTTAATGCTATTTAGTTATTCTACAATATGAAGCTCACTAATGTAAGTTTTGCCATCCAAATGGGACTCTGAATATAATGAACTTTAATAAGGTGTATCAGAGTATTATGTCCAAAATAAAGCTTGTGTTTGAGGTTTTACATAGTTTTGTGTRGTTCTTCTTTGCTTTTCCCAGCCACACGCTGCACTCAAACAGACGTTTGAAAAGAAATCAACTGAAGCAGCAAATTAACTGCTTCAGCTTGTCATTTGCTTTCTGCTTTTCTTTCTCTTGTTCTCACCTACGTCGTACCCTGCTTGCTAATTCCCCGCTTTTCTCATTTTGTTTCCTTCTTCACACTGCCGTATGTTGTCGTGTCACCAACATCAGAGAGAAATGGCCATGAGTGCTTGTTCTTTATCCTGTCATAGGATCAAACACACAGTGTAACTTGTACAAATGTGGGCAAACATCAAATGACAAAGACTGCAATGATCTCTTGAATGATTAAGGAAGGCCTTGAAGCTTGGCAGTCAGTTTTATTATAAATCCTGATATTCTGATGGCACAATGCTCCCAGTGTGGACTGCATAAAATTCATACAATAAAGAGAGAGAAAGGGAAAAAAATGTTTTTTTTCTGTCTGTCACATACTTTATGTTCTCAAAGAAGGTCCTTTTTTTGCTGTATCTTCAAAACACATCAAACCTCTCTAAGCTCACCCTCCATATTCACTTTTTCAGCTGGGATTGTTCATCTTTGCCTTGAGCGGAAATATGAAGGTTTATTCACATTTACCTTCAATACCACTTTAACCAGAAGGCAAACAGTAATAAAGTGATATTGATTGATTGATTAATAGACACAGGTCACCAAAGTCAGAGTTAGTGCTAAGTCGGCTTTAGTGACAGTATAGCATTTTTTTCTTTTCTCTTTTTACTTAAGGCGAGGGGGTAATAACCCAAGGCATCACCATCAACAGTCCAATCCTTCAATGAACTTATTTCATGCACAGTTGATTTTATGTAAATTGATTGACACCTTGGAAGGGGGCAGGCAGTGTCTGCTTTTCACCACCATAACTCTTTATGTCAGGCAGGTAGTGAGAAGCGAAGCGGGAGGGACAAAGAGTAGAGTAGTAAAAACAAGAAGAAGTCAAAGAAAAAGAAAATYTAATGTTAACATTTGCTTTGGCCTGTTCAACTAGATTTAAAAAAAAATAAAGATGGGGAAAAAAAAGGATACCAATCATCCTATTTACAGAATAAATAAACTCCACACCCCGGGGCTGGTTTTAATTGCAAATGTGAGCTCGCAGGGACTCTCTTCCTCTTTGAGCTTCAGGAACTGCGCACGCCAACATCTCTACCTTCCCCTGAAAACCCTCGCTCWGTCAATTATGATAATGAATCGTCAATAAATATAAAAATTTAATACGGTCCTGTTTACCCTGAGTGGCAACTAAGGACTTGCCTCCCAGACAAATGTGCTGCAGCTGCAGATCTGAAGTGCACCTGAAGACATCTGAATGAAAGAAATACTTAAAAAATGTTTTCATCAATCCATATTGTTTTCCTTTTCTTCTTCCTCTGTTTCCATTGTGTCTCAAAGGGAAATCTGACTTGTCTGAGATGTAAACTTACCATGTAAATTATAACTACTCAAWGTTTTGGAAGACAATGGCGTAAAAACTGTAAATTTTGAGGTTGCAGTGTTTATGCTGAATGTTCTCACTGATAGCATAAGTATATYGAATCAATAAAACAATTTTCAGTAATTGATGTGTTGTGGCTGTACTTGTTTTATCCCGCCTCAYCCACGCGTTGCTGAAATTGTCCGTTTCTCTTGTTTTTCCCAGGTTGACTATGCAGTGATTGCCTCACAGGCGGGGGCCACCCTCAACAATCTGCTGAGCCACGCCCAAGAGCTGGTAGCCAAACTACGCTCCCTGCAGCTGGACCAACGGGAGTTTGTCTGCCTCAAGTTCTTGGTTCTGTTCAGCCTGGGTGAGTTTCTGACAAAGCGCGCCTTAGTTGTATGCAGGCCAGATTTCTGCACATACAGTAAGACTGTTCTGTCAAAGTTTTCTTGTATTATCTTCTACACTTTGAAGAAATGGATTGCCATAAATCTTCCTAGGTGTTATTATTGATTTTTTTTTGTGAAAGAGGGAGCTTACAGAAGAGATGATAAAAGGCTTAGAAGGTGGGGATGAAAGGAGGAAGAGAAGGACCAAAGGTCTGGAGGAAACCAAAAAAAAGCTTAAAGGAGAAGGAGGAATGGTCTTATTTCGGTTTTAACTGATTCAGCTGTAAGGATTGACAATAAGGTGAGACTTAGGAAGGATTTAATACTTGATCATGTCAGGCAATCATTGAAATGATTTCATCGTTGGGCATTTAGGGTGTCACTTAAAGGCACAGTGTGTAGGATTTGTTGTTTTCAGCGACATCTAGTGGTTGAGTGGTTGAATCATCCTCCCTGGTCCTCCCCCCACCCCCACCCCCTGCTTCCAAACACAAAGGAGTTGCTACGGTGTCTCTCAGGTGTCAAAAACCTTTGATAATTCCAACCGCGATGTCTACCAGCAGCTTCAGGKCTAGTGATGTTTCAAGTGGTAAGATTATGAACTTTAATAAGTAAAATTATCCCAGCTACAATGACAGACAACAAATATTACATTTATAGTATCACAACTAAAACCGTTTTTGACGCCACCACCGCAGTTTGTGCTTCATGAGCCTTTGTAGACAAGATCGTGGTGCAAGATGGCGGCTGCCTTTAGTGGCGACCCGTGACCATGGAGATATAAACAGCTTTTTATAAGGTAAAAATAATAAAACAAGGTCTTCGTCTGCAATGATTAGACATGTTTTTTTTATTATTGTCATTAGTGATTATCTCAATTTCKGCTAAAAGAATTGACAAAATCCTAYACACTGTGCCTTTAAAAAGTTATCTACTCTCCCCTCCCCCAAAAAAAGCTTTATTTAGCAGCAAGACACAAATCAAGTCAGCAATGAAGGATTGTTATTCTTCAATAAAATGTCACTTGAGAAATTTAAAACCTAAACCTGAAATGTACACGTGTTAATCCTGCCTTAGACATAATGTCTGGCTCCTCCGCAACCTTACGTAGAATGAGAATAAATTTTAGATAATGAGAAGATACATGTTAATTTTTATTTTATCTGAGACTTTAATCATACGGGACAGCTTTTATTGTAGGTTTAAAGGAGACATGTGTTTTTAAATCCTTCTTTTTCACATTTAAATCATCCATTTGGGTCTATATAAAGTGGTACTGTAATGCTTTGGTCTAAATTCCTCCTTATTGTAACTCCACAAACCCCTCGTTTATCCCTTTTCTGAGGTGTGTCTCCAAGCAGCTCATTTTGAGGCTGCCTCTTTAAATCCAAATAAGGCGCTTCAAACCCCACCCCACCCCCCTCCAGCTTCCAAACTGGTTCATTTTACTTTGATAGAGGGGTTTACGATTGTACAGCAACATTTTATTTACAAATGAATTAAAAGATGTCAACAAGGGAAGACTTGTTCAACCAGCCTTACATGTTGGAGCCAGAGTCTGACCCAGAGCCAGAGGAGAACGAAGACGATAAAATCYGTAAGTCCATACCTTATTTGGCAGTTTCAGCACAAAAAACTGTGACGTAATAGTTCGGAAAAYCTCATAGAAAACAGAGAAAACTTAACGGGTTGAAGAAATGTCACCGCCAACACAGCAAATAACATTTTTTTTCTTMATATTTTGCTGCATCTCTGAATTTGTCAATCTAACAATTCTCTTTAGMGACAAAGCCATTAATGCACATGCAAAATGAATAATGACCTTTATTCTTCTTCTTAATTTACTGATGTTCTTGCTTTTTGCAGCAGTTCAACAAGCGTCTGTTCTTGGGTCAATAAAATCTGAAGCCATCAATCACAATAAGCTCTGRATGTAGGCTTAAAGATAAAACAAAATAAATAAACAACAGGGAGATACAGTGCTCTTGAAGAAGTGTAGTTTGAAAGAAAAAAATAGTAAAAGTGGGATTTTGTAAGTGGCTGTCTAAAATATTTTAGGGGGCGTTCAAGCTAAGGGGGGAGACGTTATGGGATTTGAGGGAGGAGTGAGTGCAGGGACATGCAGCTTCATGAGTTACGGGATGAAAAGTGGCGTAACAATGTTGAGTGAATGTGTTATGTGTGTGTCCTCATCCCAAACCTATCTCCTCCCTCAGTCGAGGTCAGGTATGGCCAAGAGAATCTCAAATCTGACTCTTTCCTAACTAGTTTACAAATGTATCCTCTGAGGTAAACACACACAATCCAATTAAATTTCTTTTTTTTGTTGTTTTTTACCTATCAGACTGATATGGTGTGAAGACAGTTTCACTCAGCCTGGTCCTTCTTTGGCACTCGAAGCAACAAATGATAAATATTTTCATCCTCTGCATCCAGTTTTTTCCTGTAGATGTGTGTAACTCACAAGGGCCAAGCCGTCTCTTCTTTATTTTATCCAAACAGAAAAGCAGCAGACTAATGAATAGCAGGTACACGTTCATGTGATCAAGCAGAATTAATGTTTTTGTCGGTGGAACATGCAAAGAAAGTGAGAGGAATGGGAGAAGAATTGGGGAGGGATTTGGAGTGTGTATATGTGTGAACGCATGCTTGTTTTGTTGAGTTTTTTTATGGGGCAGGGGTGTTTCTCGGTCTCAGGGTCTAAATAATTTGGCAGAAGAATCATCTATAATGAAAAGCCCACCTGAGGGATGTGTATCGCCCCCGGCAGTGCCTGTTCCCAGGCCTCCCACAAAAAGAAGACAGACACGGGCGCCGTAGAGCTGAGAGGGATCAGCGCTGGAGGAGGAGGTGTTGATGAGGTGGAGGGAAGAAGAGGGTTTGAGCCGAGTTAAACCAGAGACTTAAGTATCCATGTGATTAATATCACTTACAGCTGATAAGAGAATTGCACCTGATCCATTGTGAGAGCTGTGATATCTGTTTTTTTTTTCCTTCCCTGGAAAGTAAATATGCATAACATGCATGGCAGCGGAGCACAGKGGTGTACTCATGCATGTGTGCCTGTGTAGACATCCACCTGTGCCTCAGCCGCTTAATAAATGTGGTGAAATGAGGCATGTACTGTGCTAAAATAAAATCAAATGTTTTCACTTTAATAGCTTCATTTAATCTCTGAGGCTGACACTGCGCTCTTTATTAGGAAACGGACACGCCTCGCAATTAGCGTGCAAAGATGTTTAGTGAACATTTTTTTAGAATCAAACTAAAATTTAGGTAGGAACAGGTCCAGTTGTGCCTCCTAAAGAAAGCATCTTCAAACACATACCTGAATGAAACCTAATTATGTAATTCATAGGAAATTTTTAATTTTTATACTGACAATAGATTTTCTCTAAATCAAAGCCACAATTTTTATTAGTCTCAAAATACCTATGTGTATCCAACACCAAAGTGTCAATGACACTAGTGTTAAAATCCACTTTTTTAGCCATTAACTGAATTCTGTTGTGTACTTGGAGTGGAGAAAATTAGAATGATCTTTTTTCTATTTTTTTTTTTTTTTTGTCATTTTCATTCTCCTCTGGCTCTGGGTCAGACTCTGGCTCCAACATGTGAGACTGGAYKGACAAGTCTTCTGTTGTTGACATCCAAAACTTTTCTGTGCCACTATATAGTAGTAAACTTTTGTTTTTGTTAAATGGGGCAGATATTATAAAAAAAATCTTATTCTGCTTCCTTTAATTTTATGAGATTTTTGGGGGTTTTTGTATTGAAATTTTTGTTTTTAACTGAAATGAATAAACTATTAAACTAAACAAGGTATAATGGATCAGCCTGGAAGCTGGAGGGGGTGGAGTGTGAAGCGCCACATTTAGATTTAAAGCGACAGCGTTAAAATGAGTTGATCTGAAACACACCTCAGAAAAGAGGGGCTTGTGGAGTTATAATAAGGAGGAATTTGGACCAAAGCGTTGCATTTAGTGTGAGGTGCAGGCAGGGAAAATCCCAGGGTGCAGGCAAAATCCACGGTGAAAACAAAAAAAAGGCTTTGATAACAAACAAAAGTGGCTGTCGAGGCAGCAAAAAAACTCACAAAGTCTCAGGAGTGACACGGAAGACAGCACAAAACAATGATCGGACACAGACTGAACACAGGACACAGAATATAAAGGTAAACTAATTAGGGACTACAAGAAACACCTGGAGGAGACAAGAGRAAACAGGTGAGCAAGGGCGGGGCTAGGGGAATGACAGCAGGGGAGAGATACACAGGGGAAGACAGAAACACTAGAAAACGAAAGCAAAAAAACACACAGATCATGACATTTAGACCCCAACTGAATGATTTAAATGTGAAGAATACTTTACTGCCTCCTCTAAACAGCAGAACAGTTCACAATTTATAGCTAAGAAAAAAGAAATAATATATGTAATTACTGTTTTTTGGTGTTAAAATTGCAAAATCTTGCTTCGTTTTAGAATATTTGAGTCAATATTCAAGASCAAGGTCTTGCCAATCCTTTTGGAAAGTGTGCAAAACTTATTTTTTAAAACCAGTGATTTTTTTTCCTATCATGGAACTTTTGTAATAATCTGTAATCCTCCTTCTTTCCCTCCTGCATCCTGCCTCTTTTCTGTTTGCACCTTGTATTTTTTTCTCAGTATTTCTCCCTCCATCGACAGCCTCCTCTTTACTTCCTCCCTTCTTCTGTGTGCGAACGATCAGTCACTTCCACCCTGCCAGAGGAGCTTTTAGTTAAGCAAGTTGTCGATACAGACAGAGATATAGATGTCAGGTCAGCTGAGAGAAGACACTTGTCATGATCTGTGCGTGTTTGTTTTCATTGTTAGACGTCCACTTTGTAGTTTATTTCTTTATCTGATCTCGTTTAATCTCTTTTTCTCCCCCCGCACCCTGTCACTCAGACGTGTCTTCAGTGAAGGCTTTAAAAATCTGTCGAGACAGAAATGATCA